TGAATTTTCAGTTACATCACCTTGACAGCCCACTTAAGATCAGAATCATATTGTTCAACAAGATTGTTCTGAGATGCAAGTATGCCAGTTTCATGAATCCGAGCCTTGAAAAGATTGCAAGGTTAAGGATAGATTTGTTAGTCACAAAGTCGTTGTGACTATGGTTCACAAGAGACGAATTTGTAAAGTATGTTTCATGATGGTGGTTAATATGGTGTTCTTCATGATTGCGTCAAGAGAATCGTTTGTTGATTATGGCAACAAATGATGAATAAGAGTATTTGAATTATAGTATGAACTAGGAATCCCAGAAATAACGCAATTGGATCAAGAAGTACTAGATGAGCACGAACGAATGTACTGTATTTGGAATTCGAAATCAAGCATTCAACAAGTACACATGAATCATTAGTTCATTCGTTCAACTTCTCATCATTTCTTGGCCTTAGTTTCCTTAATGGGTATATGCCTGGGTTTTTTCTTTCTTTCTGCACTTTTATTTGACTATTATTATTATTATTACCTTATACAAGTTCTCTTGATTATCATTCAGTTTATTATTATGACCTTTGTGTTTGTCGTTTTCTCTTGATATCTGTCAATTGAACAATTATCTGACCTGTAAATTATTTTCTTCCTTACCCCTTGATTAGTACATAACCTCATTTGTTATTTAGTCTCGAATCCACTTTTGTGATGCAATCTTTTCTATACTCCTATAGACATATTTCCTTGAAAAAGCTTGGATCAGATTGCCATGCGAAACGTTGGAATTACTTCAAATTCTTTCGCTGAAATTTTACAAATACATTCTTCCTCTTTATATATACGAATGTACAGCTTAAGTAAATGATTTCATCGAAAAGAAAATTTACTTCATTGAATTCTGTTTTTCTTATTCAATGACACTATGGGTTATTTTAATTACAAACTTGATGTATGGGTGAAAATGATAATGATTGGTTGTCTGCTTATTCAGACATGTAGATAGTCCAACCGGTGTTAGATGAGTTCCCCTATTATTATTATTATTATTATTATTATTATTATTATTATTGATTGTTCATTGTTGTTGAATTGTGTCGAGTTTTTGATATGGAAAAATATTTACATTCTAGTCAGGCTAATCACATATTCTTGATCTGAGTTATATTGAAATCCTGTTGAATAGAGAATGGGAAAGAATCTAATATAGGTATTCGTCGAAGGTAAATTAACATCTCATACGTGTAATAGTTGGAAAACCCAACCGTTATAACAAAACTATTAACAACACACAATCTCAACGTCAATATTTTCTTCATTATTCAAAAAGAGAAACTTGAAAATGTAACCTTTTTTTTAAAAAAAATTAAAAAAAAATTACAATCATTATCCAGAATATTCCTAGACAAATTCAATATGATTCCTTATACAAATACATAGAAACAATCTGATGATTTTGGATAAAGAACAAAAGAAGAAAAGAAAAGAACCTTGATTTAGTATCCGACTATCATTATCATTCTATAAAACAATATCATCATTGAATTAAACAATTACAAAATTCCAATTACTTTCATTACAGTCTAACATCAAGTGAATATAATTGTTTATATGATATAAAATATTTAAAAAAATTTTTTTCTTTTCAGACCAGTTTTTTTTCTAATTAAATATAAGGTTAACTTTAGTAATTTGTCGTTAAGGATAAAACGGGATTGAATTCAACGAAAAAAAAGTAACTTGAATAAACAACTTTATAAATCTTTATAAAGATTTTGTATTAAATAGCTTGCTTTGAATAAATCCGACTCACACGTCCGAGTCGTGCCTTCTGGATAGGGGGATGAATAACTCATGAACTAACATTAGCGATAACCCAGGTAGTGGAGATCGGGCTAATCACACACTCTTACTGATATCCATAATCCGATCACGAAATCCACGGAGAAATACAGTACAATTACATTTGGATTGGAAAACGACAAAAAATTTTCAAAAGTAGTGCACGTAACATATGGAGTTGATTGTTATAGGGCAAACTCCGACGGATTGCAAAAACATCTATTCTAGCCCCGGTAATGGTGCTGTGCTTCAACGTGGCCTGTTTCTCTCAAGAAGGGCTTAATAGGTTTTACCAACTTGTTTGGCTGGAAGGAGGGGTGCAAGCTTGCTTTGAATATTTAAGCTAATTGTTTCAATAAGTTATCTGTTTCTTTGTTTGTTTTAACGGATCATTACGTTAACGAGTTGCGTAATCTATTCAGGTGAGTTTATGAAAACGTTTACGTCATTTCGTTGTATGAATTAGGAAAGAGGCCATTCAGAGATATTGTGGTTGCTCACAATGTACATCAAAAACAATATTGCTATGTTTTAAGCAGATACAAGTTCACTTAATCTGCGAACGGAACAAAGACTCAGTGGCCAAAGACCAATAAGCTAGCTATTCTATGCGTCCCAGTCCCGCTAACTAGAGGAAGAAGTTCAAACTTGAAATGGAAAAGTATATTCCGCAAAAACCAGGAGCACGAACAATAACAACAGACACAAATCAAAACGTATATATATAGCACAAAACCGTCCTTGTGGAGAGTTACAAAATAGCATACTGAAAGACACAACGGACCAATAGCATTTAAGATTCTCCTAAGTGAGAGATATGACATGAAGGTGAAAAGAGGATTTTGGCGTAAAAACAAAGAAATTCAAATTTTCTAAATGAGATTACAAAATTAAGTCCTTTTCCAAGTGAGTTCTGGGGATCTAACGTCATCAATTTTATCAAACTTAACTGTTCCTTTTGCAAATATCAGTCAATTGTCTCACACTCCATTGTTCCTGTATTTCCATTGAAATGTCAATTACTTTTTTATGCGTTTAAAAAGAGAAACATACTGAGAGCATTTTTAACAAAATACAATAGGCCCAAATGTTATTTAAAAAGATTTGATGTCTACTTGAATCATAGATACGTTGAGTGGGCTTGACAGGGATGATATTCAATTCAAAAAAAGCATATGTCATTGTTGAGAAATTAAAAAGTAGTTATAATGGTTCTATTCATAGAATAACTAAAGTTACTCCCCAAATAGGACCAATTCTATGTTTACAGATCAGTTCAAAATATAACGTAATTATTACTTACAGACAAGTGTATCAATCCAGTTATTATATAAAAAGTAATGAAGAATGGATTGGACTGATTTTGAAACAAGTGGATGGTAATATTCAGAGCATTCATTATATTACATATGTGATACAATCAATTTAACAATTCAATAATATCTACCAATAAGAGATCTTACATTTGTAACTGATTTGATCATGGTGAAACTGTAATTGTATAAACATAGAAAATGTGCCATCATAACGATCATTATAACATCATAAAGATAATTTGCTTTGAATAAATCTTTTACAGTTATGTTTTCCTACAAACAACTTTCGCGTTTTACTATGTGTTATGACTTTAGGTTGCTGTCGATTTTTACCCTGTGCTAATTGTTGTGTCCTTGACTGGAAAATTAGAGAGCAGCGTACTTATCGATCGACTACAGTGACACGTAAACACGTACGGACGGCCTAGAGTCTCGATTGGTCCTGCTTCTCTGTCCAGCCCAGCCAGTTGAGTCCAGAACACAAGTCACAGCCTCTGAGATATGAATCATTATATTTCAAACATACTCTATTTATATACTAACCAAGCATACCACATCGTACCATAAAATAGAAAACAACATTTTGTACAATATTCACAAGTGAACAGACATCGACCAATAGAAAATGTCCATTTAAAGTCCAAGGACACCATTGGACTTAACATGATAATTATTTGTATATTCCTCTGCATCCACAACACTATGATTATTTGGATTTAAACTAGCCTTTCTACTTTTTATTCATTTACAATAAGAAGAAAATCTCAGTTGAATCAATAAGAAGAGATTCATTAATGACCTGTTTTCCTATTTGCTCTATAAACAACTAAATAATGTAGTCAATTAGAAAATGACTTACAAAGACCAAATCATGTGGTTGACAATCATGTCATAGAATTTAGTTCTCGAGACCTATAAACTACTAGATTTAATCAAATCTGGTGATTAATATTCATATTATCTATCAATTTTTTCGTTGACACTGACATTATCCCTGTTGTATTTTAACCATAGTGATCGTGACTTGTTAAGCGAACCAGTTGATTTCTTTGTGAAAGTTTGCCAACTTCAGTAAAACGTTGATTGTTATAAATATATATATATATATAAACAAGTGCAAAAGACTAATTAGTGAGACTACTGTTTCTTTGAATGTAAAAGATAATGAAATGATATATAGTGTGATGATAATAATAATGATGATTATGATAAAATTAGAGCTTTTAAAGATTTTTCTTTGAGTGTGTTAGGAAAGCTAGGTTATTTCACCTTTGTAGACTTTTATAATCTTTGTTCAGTGTTTTCCTTCCTTGTTTCACCTACAATACAAAGGTTTTCTCTTTAAATAATGGAAATGAGATTCCTGTCGATAAAGTAACGCAGTCATCACGTTTATTTTATTTATAGCAGAGAAACGACGTGTAACATTAACCGTATACATATTATTCAGGAGTAGATAATAAGATTCTCAAAAGCTTTTGGCTGAAAGGACTTTAGGTAATGACCAGAAAAACTACGTGTTGATGATGTTTATCGAGAAAATTTTTGTCATACAGTTTCATCTTCAAGCTCTAGTTATAAGTGAGTGTTGAGATCATAAGTCAATTGAAATTACTAAAATCTCCACAAAACCCCCTTCTGATAATAACTGAGTGTGTTCAGGAGAAACGTAAGAGCCTTAACTCTTTGTTGTATGTCCTAATGCTGAGATCTCCCTAAAATTTTACTTCCCAGTGACAACAAAAAATAAAGTGAAACTAACTTGTTCATGTTAATACTCAAATTTATTTCAAGACACTAAATGCGCGTTCTACTTTATACTCAAAAGATATTAAAATATCAAATATGCTACTGAATATTTATAAGTAGTATAAAATTACATAGAAAGTAGGTAAGGATGTTAATAAGAGCAGAAAGAGCTTCACATTGATTGATTAGATATAGCAACACAGAGACAAAATAACAAACACAGAAGGAATTCAGTACTCATAAGGGAAAGAATATGTAGTTACTATGAAACCCATTTAATCTGTTACGACCTATCTGTAACTTCCGCCCTACATACATTTACTATATCTAACTTCGACAGATCATCCCTCTATATATAGAGTTATACATACATACATAGTTAGCTTGGTCCGTAGATTTGCTTCACCATATATCCTTGATATTTCAACGTCATTCCATCAATGGTGGTTAGTATTTCTTTTCAAGCGATGCTGCAACATTACCGCGCACGTTAGCATCTGATGAGAATCCATAAATCTGAATAAAAATAGATTGCCCTGCATCAATCATTATAATCATGTTTGCAAGTTAATGAAAGAGAATTAAGTGCATGAATTTTAGTTAGTTTATAATATCCCACCCAACTAATTTCCAAACCACTTACTTTCACTGAACTACTCATACCAACTTTCAATATTGAAAATAAGACTTTACAAAATGTATTGCCCTTAGTTAGACAACCAGTGTAAACATTGAAGATTCGTACAATTTTTATATCTCGTTATGGCTGTAGATGTAGTATATTGACGTTTATTACTAACTTAGCACACATAGGTTCATTTGATTCATATATATTGAGTGCTGAACTCCGCCTGGAGCCCCTGTGAGGCTACTGCCGGTCCCAAGGCCAGATAAAAGAAGGGGATTGAACACGTGTTTAGCGACTACATCCCATAGAAAACTAACTCGCCAAAAAACGCTGATCAGAATAATTAATTCAAACTACTCAAAACTCTGCCCTGGGAGTCAGAAAAAATATGAAGCTTCATGATGAAAGCCGAGTTCCTTCGGAAGTCACGAGGCCGATGCCCCTTCTGACAACCAGAGTAACCGTTTATTTAGGTACATGGAATGCTCATACAATGTGGGAGACCGGGGGAGTCTTCCAAATTGCTGTAGAAATGAGGAGATACAACCTAGAGGTGCTTGGGGTCGGTGGAACACAGGACGCAGGTTGGACAACAGCGGCTATCTTCAGGGGGACTGCTGTTATACTCCAGCCACAAAGAAGAAGACGCACAACATAAACAAGGAGTTGCATTGATGCTATCTAAACAAGCACAAAATGCACTTATAGGATGGGAATCTCATGGACCCAGGATCATCAAAGCCTCATTCAAAACAAAGAAAGAGGGTATTTCAATGAACGTCAACCAATGCTATGCGCCTACCAACGACTATAATGAAGACGTTGAAGATCAATTCTACAGTAGGCTGCAGTCAATCGACAAGAAGTGTCCAGCAAAGAATCTCACCATTTTGATGGGAGACCTAAATGTCATGGTTGGAATGGACAACACCGGATATGAAGACATCATGGGACGACATGGACTGAGAGAGAGAAACGAAAATGGGGAAAGATTTGCAAATCTGTCTGCATTCAACAAAATGATCATAGGCAGAACAATGTTTCCACACAAGCGTGTACACAAAACTACATGGATCTCACCGGACCACATCACAGAAAACCAAATAGATCAGATTTGTATCAATAAAAAGTTCCGAAGGACAATGGAAGATGTGAGAACCAGGAGGAGAGCTGACAAAGCTTCAGATCACCACCTAGTTGTAGCCAATTTAAAACTGAAGCTAAAAAAGAACTGGACAACTGGACAACTGGACAAACAGCATTACAAAGGTTCAATACTGTCTTCCTTCGAGATACTGACAAACTCAACTAATTCAAGATAGCTCTCAACAACAGGTTCCAAACCTTACAGGATCTACTGAAAGAAGAAGAAACTAGTATGGAGGACAACTGGAAAAGTATCAAAGAAGCATTGACTTCAACGTGTCAAGAGGTTCTAGGTCTAAAGAAATACCATCATAAGGAATGGATCTCTACAGAAACACTGGACAAGATCAAAGAAAGGAAGAACAAGAAGACAGCAATCAACAACAGCCGAACACGAACAGAGAAATTCCAAGCACAAGCTAAATACATAGAAGCAAGCAAGAGAAGGAAATATGAAACAGCTTTACGATACAACGAAGAAACTAGCAGGTAAATATAGTAAACCAGAGAGACCGGTCGAGGACAAAGAAGGCAGGCCAATCACTGAAATTCAAGAACGGCGGAACAGATGGGTAGAGTACTTTGAGGAACTACTGAATAGGCCGGCTACAATGAATCCACCGGACATCGAAGCAGCACACACACATCTTCTCATAGATGTCAATCCACTAACGACGGAGGAAATCAGAATGGCCGTCAGACAAATCAAGAACGGGAAAGTAGCAGGACCCAACAACATACCAGCTGGAGCACTGAAGTCAGACATCGAAGTAACTACAAGCATGCTTTACCTTCTACTCAAAAAGATTTGGGAGGAGGAACAAGAGCCGATGGACTGGAAAGGAGGACACCTCATCAAGATTCCAAAGAAAGGAGATCTGAGCAAATGTGAAAACTATAGAGGCATCACAGTACTGTCAGTACCAGGGAAAGTCTTCAACAGAGTGTTTTGCTGAGCCGGATGAAAGACGCAGTAGACGCCCAACTTCGAGATCAACAGGCTAGATTCCGTAAGGATCGGTCGTGCACAGACCAAATTGCAACACTACGGATCATCGTCAAACAATCAGTTGGGTGAAACTCGTCGTTAAACATCGACTTCATTGACTAAGAAATGGCGTTTGACAGTGTAGATAGGAGGACATTATGGAAACTTCTTCGACACTACGGAGTTCCTGAGAAGATTGTCAATATTATCCGGAACTCATACGACGGACTACAGTGCAAAGTAGTGCATGGAGGACAGCTGACAGATGAATTCCAAGTAAGGACCAGAGTCAGACAAGGCTGTTTACTACCTCTCTTCCTTTTTCTTCTAGTGGTCGACTGGATTATGAAGACCTCGACATCTGAAGTAAAACACGGAATACAATGGACAGCTCAGAATCAATTATACGATTTGGACTTCGCAGATGACCTAGCCTTCCTATCACGTACACACGAACAGATGCAGACAAAGACAGCCAGTGTGGCAGCAGTCTCTGCATCAGTAGGCCTCAGCATACACAAAGGGAAAACCAAGGTCCCCAAATTCAACACGGAGAACAGCAATCCAATCACTCTTGATGGCGAAACTCTGGAAGATGTAGAATCCTTCACATAACTGGGAAGCATAATCGATGAACAAGGAGGCTCAGATGCAGATGTAAAGGCGAGGATCGGCAAAGCAAGGACAGCATTCCTACAATTGAAGAACATATGGAACTCAAAACAACTTTCAACCAATATCGAAGTCACAATCTTCAATGCAAATGTCAAGATATTTCTACTATATGGAGCTGAAACTTGAAGAACTACTACAACCATCATCAAAAAGTTACAAGTATTTATAAATGGTTGGCTACTTAAGATACTCAACATCCATCGGGCGGATACCATCAGCAACAGCGTTTTTTGTGAGATGACAAACCAGCTTCCAGCTGAAGAGGAAATTAGGAAAAGGCGATGGAAATGGATAGGACATACATTACGCAAATCATCAAACTGCATCACGAGGCAAGCCCCTGACTTGGAATCCTGAAAGGAAGTGGAAAATAGGAAGGCCAAAGAACACATTACGTCGGGAAATAGAGGCAGATATAAAAAGGATCAATAACAACTGGAAATAACTAGAAGGGATTGTCGAGGATAGGGTTGGTTGGAGAATGCTGGTGAGCGGCCTATGCTAGTCCACGAGGAGTAACAGACGTAAGTAATAAGTAACATCGATACAGTGAAAAATTTCCATAACTCTAAATCTCTTCAGAAGAGCGACCAAAAGCATTACCTCGGAAGAAGACAAGCTGAAAGAAAACGAGAATATAATAAACATCCTACGTTCTAATAACTTCCCTAAAATATGTTATTAATGACATATGAAAACAGAACTTTCCTTCTGTAAATAACAATCCTAATGAGATATATTGGCTTGGCATCGTAGTTTTACCTTACCGCCAAAGTACTACGGAAGAAGTACAACGGATATTAAAAACTTACAAAATTAGGACTTTCTATAAGACAACAAACATTCCAAAACGCTTTTCACCGCGATTCACTGCAGTATATTTTGCTGATTTACTATATCAAATTATGCCAGTTAACCAATCACGTAAAATGTTTACATGCAACCATTTCACTTCTAAAATTACACATTCAAAGTAGACTAAATCAATAACCTTCAAACATTCATTTGATCTAATCTTGAATTCTAATATGTCGACTTAATATTCTTTATGAAGAAATGTTGCTAAGTGGAACAGTTGACCTGATCAAATTCATGATAACGGAACAATAACTTGATAAAGATGATTTTGATTCTTTCAGTTTGGTTAGAAATGTTTCCAAGTCCAATCATTTCATTTCATGAGATTTAGGATTGAACTGAAGTTTGATACACTGGAAAACCGTAATCACAAACATTTTCACTCATACAATAACACATAAAACATATGAATGTAAACAGTACATAGAGATGAAATCAACTACAATATCTGACTGATGTATTATTTCACAGATCAACAATCCTATTTCCAAATCAAACGATCTTTCAGAGAAACACTTAAACTATAGTTATGAAATGTGTATTTCACAAAGTTTCATTCACATTATTCTTATAACTCTCAAAACACTAGTCATTTATCCGTCTCTATTGTCAGGAACATATCAACGTCTTTATCTCCTTCTTCATTTTATGTGATGTTCTCGACGTCAACTCATTCATTAGAATGTGAATTTGTTTTCATTTTATTCATTGAGGGGAGACGTGATTGTGAATCGTGAGAAATGAGTGTGTTTGACAGTTAGTTAACATGATAATTCATCATACTTAGTGTCTTCATAGATCTCACTGAATTCTTCAATTCAGTTCATGAGAGCTATTTTATTATAATCGGGATTACTTCTTGAATTTCTTCTTTATAAAAATTTTAGGAGTAATGAATACCTATCTTTTTTATACACACTATAATTCATCCTGATTTAGTTTCTTTTTAATTGTCTATTAATTTGCATTGTGGTTAGTATTGCAACGCTGGACACTCGTGTTGAGATATTCAGAAAAATATCCCCAAAATTATCCTGTTAAGTCTAATGCTATCCTTGGACTTGAAATGGTAATATTTTCCCATTGGTCAATATTTATTTTACGTGTCATTTTCCTATTGACCAAATCTTGTACAAATGTTATTTTCTATTTTATGGTACGATGTGGTCTGCTTGATTGGTATATAAACGGAGTATGTTTGAAATATAACGATGCATATGG